TTTTGTGTGCGGGTACATTGTCACCTCTTACAGATGTGGCTTAGAGGAGGAGTTAGTGGTTGAGCGCTGACACTGTTTAATGTTTGTAGACTTTGTTGTCAAGGAAGTGAAACTGCAGATTCTGTGGAGGCCGTACCAAGCGAGGTTTGTGCAAAGGGAGCCACGTTTCCTTTTTAGTTTTCAATTAGCATGTCTTTCTAACTAGACACACCGTGCGGTTGCAATGAGACACAGTACCTGTTGTCTGCAGAGCTCAAGCAGCTTCTCTTCATGTTTGAGTCTTCTGTGAAAGCAGACACGAATAGGCCGCCACAAGACCTATCTTAACCCTCCTCTTTCATCTTTCTCCTTTGTTCTCTAAGCACAAGGGTCTGGAGATCGCGAATGGACAGTATCCACGCTTGGAGCTTGATGATACCCATGACCATTTCCCCCAGGTGTCGGCTTAACGACAGACTGATTCCTTAGTGGGTTTTTTTTTTTTTTTTTTGGTCTGAGTATGTTTATTAATAGGAGACAGTTCAGTGTGTATTTAGTGATTTGGGTCAAGTCCTTCCATGTATCCAGCTTTTGATTTCCCGCCGTCTGGGGTTCACAGAGCAGACTTGGTGGTTAGGAATGCTTGCTGCTCTTATAGAGAACCAGAGCTTAGTTTCCAGCACCAACAGGTCAGCTCACAGCTGCCTATAAGTCTAGCCCCAGGGGATCGAACACCTCCCCCCCTTTTTCTTCTTCCTCTCTCTCTCTCTCTCTCTCTCTCTCTCTCTCACACACACACACACACACACACACACAGTTAATACACAATTAAAAAATATTTTCTTTCACCCAACAGCCGTTTAACAATACCCACCAAGAGCACTTGTACAGGTGCAGGTGTTCAAAGCTGCGGTATAAACACACACCCAGTCTCTGCTCCAAAGGCCTCTTGAGATTAGCAGCAGGAGACACACGTTTGAAGGAACAGCTGTAACATGGAAAGTCACTGTCATCACTCAGACACTGTGGGAGCCAATGCACACGGACCCTTTCACTTTCTGGTTAGTTCCAGGTTCCAGGTTCCGGATGGCTGGACTCGCTTTAGATTGCCTGGTCTCCGTGGATTTCCTTACTCCTTTGTATTGTGTGGCTGTGGATCGATGAAGAGACCATCTGGCCTTCAGTTTCGTCACCTGAGAAAGGAACACAATAGTTATCCCAACATCAAACAATCAGTAATATTTAGTAGTGTTTGCCTGCACCACGTGACCGTTAATTATGGCTCTCACTCCTTCTCTTCAAATCAGTTCAGTATGACCGCAGAATGAGAGCTCCACAGATAGCCATTGGGGGCAAGAAGAATACACTAAAAATGGAATTCCTATGCATCTTTTTTATTCTTCTATTTCTATGTTTTTGTGTTTTAGGGTGTATCTATGATGCTTGTAGTTTTCTTATTTATATGATTTATTTTCATTTAAAAATATTCATTACTATTGGCGGTCTTGGTGGTGGGGTGGTGTGGTGTGTGTGTGTATGTGTGTGTGTTTGGGTATGCACATGAAGGGCGAGGACAACTCTCTACCTTTACATGGGTTCTGGGAGTTGAACTCAGGTCATCCTTCTCTCCCAGTAAGCATCTTAACCAGCTGAGCCATCTTGCCAGCCCTGGCTTCTCAATGGCTAAACAGGTGTGGTTACTTTTATTGGCAAAGTCCTCAAGGAAACTTGATTATGTTACAGGTGTACACGACATTCCTCCCCCCTTCCCCCCCACACACAGAAGGGACGTGCAGTTTACAATTTACAAAGCACCCTGATTGATGGGACATACTAATTACGAAATGTTAGCAACTGCTTTTGGTCCTCATGACATCCACATGGACAGAATGGTCTACGCCCGCCAGCATCAGCACCAGCCACCCCCTCCAGGCCTCTGCTAAGTTTTGCAGGCTCTCAGAGCAGTAGGCTCTCATTTCCTTGGTCTGTATTCTCATCCTGCACTGGAAGTTGTGGCGTGGTGTGACACATGAGATAGTGCCCGTAACTGTTGGCTGGCACTTTCTCCAGAGTGATGGGATAATGGATGCTCTTTTGGTACTGTCTCTCCTTGCAAACAAGAAAGCCCTTTGAGAAGCATCATGTGAAAACATTTACCATAGAAGGCAATCTGGCCTCTCTGCCTGATTCATTTTCAGATTTTTCTGTGTGTGAAAGAAGCTAACAAAACAACAGCTGCTTAGCCACAAATTAGTAGAACAAGCTCTCATACCGGATGGCTATTGATGGCTCTTACTTAAGGCAATTTACAAATTCACGAAGGATTTCCCTTCACACATTCACACTTGTGCAGCTTTTGAAGCCTTGCTGAGAATTTGTAGATTAATTTATGTAAACAAAAAGGAGACCTAGGTTTGCTTGAGATTCCATAAGCTCACTACATATTTAATTGGAGTTCTGTAAAATATGCTCATTAAAAGGCAGAGGACATAGCTCCAAGGAGAGGTTGTTCATTGCTTTCTCACTGGATGGAGAAGAAACAGAAGAGCTGGTGGTAATTACCAGGCTGCTTGGGGGACACACACATTATTTGCTTTCAAAATTAGTTTTCTGTTTTTAGCTTTTAAAAGTATCTATTCCTTCACCAAAGCTCATTGTCCTAAATTGATCTAGCTTCATATTTATTATTATTATTGTTGTTGTTTTTTTGATTTTTTTTTTGAGATAAAGTCTCATGAAGCCCAGGCTGGCCACATATTTTCTATGTAGCAGAAGATGACCTTGAATTTCTAATCTCCCTGCCTCCACCCCTGTATTGGGTGTTTCCTGGATTTTGTGATGCTAAAGACTGAATTCAGAACTTTATGCATGCTAGGCAAACACCACACCAATTGAGTCACAACCCTAGCCCTGCAGCTCATGACTTACTTAATTTTATTTTGGAGACAAGGACTCACTATGTAGCTCTGGCTGTCCTGCAACTAGTTGCATGGTCCTGCCTAATCTTGAACTAACAGAGTTCCACTCGGCTCTGCCTCCCAGTGCTGGGATTAAAGGCGTGGGCCACCAATGTTCTGCTTATCTCATGATTTTTAAAGGACAAAAGTGGAGAAGAATTGTCCTAACACGGCCTGCTCTGTCTTGGGGACTGACGAATCCCTGCCTTGGGTTGGTCTTTACCTTTCTTTCTCTATTTTCTAGCTACAAAGCAAATGTCTGAATGCTGACCTCACAAGTTTTCTGTGTTGCTGTGTGAGTCTGTGAGCTGACGCCGGGGAAGCATTTATAAAGATGGAATGTGCTGATCATTAATTTTGATATGTTTATTGATATAATTTGAGAGGTTTTTTTTTTAATGATAATAAATCTCCCTCGGGTTTCTTCTTATGAGTGTGTGTATGTCAACGTGATTTGGTCTTTTAGTAAAAGCAAGATTTATGGCAGGCGGATTAACTCGTGAGCGAAGCACGTCTTTATGTGCTTAATCAACCGGTTCATTCCACTTAACATATGTGTGTGATGGGCTCGTAACAATCGGTATGTCTTGACTGTCGAAGAGGGACGTGCTAGCACCTCTCTCCTGTTTATGTCACTTTTATATTGTGTTGACAATTTGCATTTTTCCTCTCCTTGAACACAAGTTAAGGCAATGCAGGCATGGGATTTGATACTTCCAAATCTATTGAATTTTACCCTTTTCATGTGAAGGAATTTCTGTAAAGAATTCCCGAGTTTTGCAACACCCAGGGAACCCCTTGTTTATTTCTAATGAGCAAGCATTCTTAGGGGCATTTTCTATGTACTGGCTGTGGCATAAACAACATGTATCAGTAGTTCTCAAAGTTTGGTCTCAGATCCAGCATCTTCTGAGAACTTTCTAGAAAGGTAACTGCTCAGACTCCATGAACGAATGGAAAACTCTGGTTAGGGGCCCAGAAATCTCTGTTTTAAGCAAACACCGAGGCCATTCAGTTTGAGAGCCATGCTCTGGAGGGCTCAGGCTGAGATAGAGTGCAGCTGGTTCACACTCCTTATCTGTCTTCATTGAAGCCTTTGGACCGCCACGTTCTGTCGATGCACATAGCCCCTATGAATGCATCCGGATGCTAATTGCATCATTGTGCACGTTAGTTTGAGATCCGCTCTGTGTGACCGCTTTCACAGTCTACTGCATAAGCAGGTTCTGAAGCCATCCCAAGAAAGGAAGCTTCTCTCACCTGAACCCACTTTCCTTGGATTCCCGGTAAGGCCTACTGGGGAACCTGGGGCCCACAGCTGGGTAGGTGGGTATTTAAAGGTAGTAGATGGGGCCTCGCGCTCAGGAGAGAGGTGTGCTGGGGACTCCATGCAGCATGGGTGGCAGCTCTTGGCTTAGCTGTGGCCTTTTCATCCTGGGTCTTGGGTGCGTGAATTTCAGCTGGGTGCAGCCATTAAAATGCCCCATTCATATTCTGCCTCCTCATATAAACGAGATAATTTCTTCAAGACAACACGGCTTTACCCTCACAGCTAGAAGTAGGTGACTACAGTTTTGTTCTCTGCCGGGGAGGTAATAATCCAGGAGTCATCCGGTAGCATTTTGGGGGCTAGTACGGGAACACAGACACCTGGATTTCTTGGGAAAGGGATACTCCTCAGTTGTCCTCAGGCCCTGGTTTTAGTTCTATGGGTCCCAGAGGTAGGAAGGACAGCCTTAGACTTAATGGCGGATGTCCTAGTGTTCTACAGTATGGAGTGCCCAACACAGGTTCCACCGCCAGCAACTCCAGTGTGCTATGAAATGTGACAGACAGGATGAGTGGATTGTCCTGGGTCATATAGTGCCTGTATGGTCATCAGCCCTGAGGCTGTAACTCTCTGACTTAATTCTAATTGTGGGGTCGTAAGTGGATCGGATGAGAAATGCAAAGCTGGCTTCACGGGTGTGTGTACACAGCTGGTTCTGCTAAGCGTCTGGTTGACCCGCAAGCCTGGGGAGGTAGGGGAGGAGGGAAGGAATGGTGTTCAGTGACCCTGAAGCTTCCCTCTGTCCCCACAGGCACCCAGTTCCTACACAGTTACTGGCTACTGCACTTTGAAGCGACTCCCTTCTTGGGCTCTTCCCTAATACAGCTCTGGGCCTGGGTACCAATTGCTCCTCGTGCCTCTGAGCTCATTCTGGAGTTCAAGGACCATCAAGAGGACTCACAGAGAACCCTTCTGGATACTTTCCCCATCATCTTCTCATCTTACCAGTTAGAAAGAGGGGCCTTATTGGAGATCTACTGTTTGCTGATGTATTGGATGGAGGTGGTGCCCGTCCTCCTGGCGGAGAAGTCTGTGTTCACCCAGGTCCCCAAAGCTATCTTGACGGAATGTTCCAGTTCTCAAGAAAAGCGCGATGTCGTGCTGCTGTTTGTGTCCTTGCCTCACGCTCAGCCACCTCTGTTCCACGTGCCTTACATCCAGGAGCCCTTTATCCCTGATGAGGAACAGCAGATCTTAAGTCAGAGCGACCAGGGAGTGGGCCATGGCCAGGCTCATCGCCCGATGCAGAAGCTCTGTCATCTGCAGGATCAAAAGGTGAACCTCCACAGAGCTCCGTGGGGCCAGTGCATCGTAGCGCCCAAGACGTTCAGCTTCTCGTCCTGTCAAGGGGTCTGCCTGGCCCTGAACAGTGAGCTCCTTCACTCCGATCCCAGATACTATAAGGTACAAAATGAAGTCTTATTTTTATTTGGGGCTATATTGGAATATCGCTAAATGTTGGTTTTCTGGGCATGTCTCCCGTTGAGTCAAAGAGACCAGTGAAAGTGTGTGTGTGTGTGTGTGTGTGTGTGTGTGTGGTGATGTAATCTACACTAATGTAGATTGTCATGTCTTTTCCTCAATGTGATCTAACTATAACTTTTGTTGATAATTCACACCTCCAGTTTTTATTTTTTGCTCTGTTTTGAGACAGGGTCGGGCCTCCCTGTGTCCCTTGGGCTGTCCTAGAATGTACTATGTAGAACGGGCCAGGCCTTGAACTCACAGAGATCTACCTGCCTCTAATTAAAGGAGTAAGCCACTATGGCCAGGTGAACATCTCCAGTCTTCAGCTCCTTCTGAAGTCCTAATCTGGAGGCTTCGTACACCCACCCTCCTTGCCCACCTACGCCTGCCATGTCTGCTATTTAACTATGCAGCCAGGGCTACAGCAGATTCAGCTTTCTGTCCTTTGTTCTGCAGAGGGAAGCGCCCACCTGCTCCAGGTTCTCTCAGATCTGTAGTCCTGCCAAGGTCCGTTTTTTCTCCTTGATGGTCCAGGATGATGAACACAAGATGAGCGTGCACTACCTGAACGCTACCCTGGTAGAAAAGTGTCCTGCTCCTGAGATGCCTCAGAGCCTCCTGTGGATCCGACATCGTCTCCAGAGCTTTGTGGGAGGGTGAGGGGATGTGGTTTGTTTAACAAGGCACAGGGAAGATGGAGTTGCAGGACCCGCCTCTCCATGGATACGTCTCTCTGTGGGCAGGATCCTTCTACTACTACCCTCAGATGTGGCTGTCCCTGAGCAGCTGGGCCTGTTGGGTATCCAATTGCCTGTCATGAGTTGTCTAAGGAGGCCAGGCTTAACAGCCATCTTTGAAGATACTTAGCTGGGGGAAGAAGAACCTGAAAGAATGTTTTTATCATCTGTGTTGGGCCAAACCTCCCCTGTTTAAATGGGGCTCCATTTCGGATCCTTCCAGGCTCTTCTGCTATTGTCTTAACCATAGGCTTGGGGCTGACTGGAAGCCAATCTAGCCTTGGAATGACAATTCCCTTCAGCCCAGCATTCCTGGCCTCTGGAGAGTAGGAACCCTGTCAAGGGGGTGTTGTGTCACAGGCTAGCCATGAGTGGACATCAAAACCCTCATTGTCTTCAGACTAGTGACAAAAGGTCTTTTGTCTCATGGGAGGGTTAGGTCTCACTGTTTTAAGGGACTTCCCTGCCTAATAATTTTAACTTAGTGGAAATTAGCTTTTTTATTATCTTCAATAAAATGCTATACTATCACTTGAGAGTCTCTTAAATTGGATTTCCCACCCCCTTTCCTTGAACCAGAAAGATGAGTGAGTATATATGGATTTCAAATCTCATTGTCGAGGACCCTGAAAAAAAGAGAATGCTTTTTGTGATAAATTCTTTGCTTATTCTAATATCCACTCAAAATGACTTCTGAACTGGTCAGAAACAGACATAGAGAAGGGTTCTGGTGTAGAATTCATGTCAAGATTACCCTTCAGTTTTGGTGTAGAAGAGAAACACTTTGTCCCTTCTAACATCACGTGCTCTGCTTGCTCAACAGGAGGCAGAGAGCGTGCACTAGGGACAGTTAGAAATCTCAGAACTGCCTTCCGACACTGTCGTAAGTCTGCATCCCTGGGGAATGGTGGAGTGAGGGCGGCTTTATGGCAGGCCTTGGGGTAGCGTCCCAGCTATGCGGTTCTTGGTCTCTGTTCCGGAAGAGTAAGTAGGGGTGCTTCTGCCCCCAGGGTCCTGTTTCAGCCCCCGCACTGGCTTCTTCAGTGACAGACTGTAATGCCCAAACCGAGCAAGTCCTTTCCTCTCTGGGGTGGTTTTTGTCAGTGTTTTATCACAAAAATAAAAAGCAAACTAGGATTCGGGTGTTGGTGGTGCACGCCTTTAATCCCAGCACTTGGGAGGCAGAGGCAGGGGGATCTTTGTGAGTTCGAGGCCAGCCTGGTCTACAAAGCTACACAGAGAAACCCTGCCTCGAAAATCAAAACAAAACAAAAAAAGCAAACTAGGACAAACTATAAGAGAAAGCACTTTCCTCCCCAAGTTTTTTTTTGCTCAGAATGTTGTTACAGCAACAGGACTTAGTCCCACGGATGGAGAGACATGATTTCGTGCTTTGGGACCACGCTGAGTGACAAGTGGCTATCATTCCAAGCAGAAGGGACATATAAGCTAAATGACATAGTACCCACAAAGCTAGAATGGTGGCTGTTGGTTGAGAGTATGGGGATAGTGTTCTGGCAAGTGAATTTGGGATTCAGGGTGATGAATGTAGGTCAACGGCGGGAAGAGGACTCTGGGTGGAACCTGAGGGGATCTGCTTTGCTGAACACATGGTGTATCCCAAGGTCTAGTGGTCACACTCAGGCATTGATTTTACCAGAAGGTAAACTGACACCGTCTGTAAAAATTCCATACTGGAAAACCACAAACCCCTGTCATCTCAGGCTATTTGTATAGGTATATTAATAATAGGCATTTTCATTAATGCAATGAATAAAATATGGCTGTTCACAGTGGAAGAGAAGCCCACAGCCATGATTCAGGGGAAGGCGGCAGATACGGGAAAGGAGGTGTCTGTGTGGCCTGATGTTTGTATAGAAGGAAAACGGCAAGGTCAGGACACATGCCTTTATTCCATTTGTGGGGGTAACCAGAATGGCCAGCTTCAGAGGAGACTGAAGCTTGCCTGGGGCTAGAGCAGGATAGATAGGTAACTAGTGGTTTGTAGTGTAGTTTTGCAAGATGAGGAGTGTTGGAGGATGGTGGTGATAATTGCTTAGCTGTGATTGTACTCCGTGCATAAAGCTGCACATTTAAAATGGTAAGGCGGGGCTGGACAGATGACTCGGGCAGTGAGGAGCATAACTGTCTTTGTGGAGGACTCATGTTCAATTCCCAGCGCCAACACGCTGATGGCTCACAACTGCTTGCAGGGGATCAATGCCTCTGGCCTCCACAGGTACCTACACTATGGACACAACCCCCCCCCCACAGATACAGAACTGAAAAGTAAAAATAAACTGTAGTTGGAAGTTTTTCTCTGTCCTTCTGCCCCCCTACCAGTTTTTCTTCGAAGCTACTTATGAAATAATCACTCAGAAGCTAATATTAAATATAATCATCTGGCCGGTGGCTCAGGCTTATTACTGGCCAGCTCTCTCATCAATTAGCCCATTTTTAATAGTCTGTGTATCACACATGGCCATGGCTTACTGGTAATGTTCTGGCATCTTGCCCCTTCGGTGGCTACATAGCTTCTCTCTGACTTGGCCTTCTTTCTTTTTCTGTCTCTGTTTGGATTTCCTGCCTAGCTATGTTCTGGTTGGCCATTAGCCAAATCAGCTTTGTTTACCAACCAATAAAAGCAACACGTATTCACAGCATAAAGAAGGACATCACATATCAATAAATCTTCAAAAACATGTTTTAAAAGGGCTGCATACACCTTTAATTACAGCACTCAGGAGGCAGTGGATCTCAGTGAGTTTTGGACCAACTTGGTCTATGAAATGAGTTTCATATATGTAGTGATGTCTGTGTATTGAGACTCTGTCTCAAAACAATGGTTAAGGTAGTAAATTATGTGTGTGTTATCACAATTAAAATATCTAATTTGAAACAAGCATATCGTCACTGGTATAATGGCCGCTGTCAGCTGGAGGTGATCTGTAGAGAGAGACTGGAAAGGGAGGTCTCTCAAAGTATAGACTGTTTTGGATACTTAAACCTTGTTGACATGTGAAAATTCAAGTTGTGTATTTATGTGTATTCCTGCATGTATTCAACCCTTCAATAAAAATTACTTTGAAAGAAAAAGCAACGAAACATTTTAAAGTGAACCAATTTGCAACAGATACACTGTTAAGTACTGGGAACAAGGCAAGCTTCTAGAAACTCAGTTGACCTTCTATAGACCCAATGAGATGGTGCTTTCCAGAAGAGGAGACTGAAGCAGGAGAGTTACCACAGTCGCAATTGGTCTGCACTCTAGCAACACATTCTTAAGTATGTCAACACACGGTACAGGAGGATACGCCTTTCTCTCTTTAGTTAGAATCATGATGCCTTCAAACAGAAGCATTTAAAATATTTTAAAATTCATTGTTTGGCATACTGTAATTTGGTCATATTCACTATTATCCCAATCTTCCAGATCCATTTCTCAATCCATACCCAATTAACCTTTTGCATTCTTCACGTCGAGTCTAATTAGTGCTGCTTATATGCTCGCGGGTGTGTAGCCTCCACTGGAGTGTATTCCAGCTACCAGAGGCCACACCCTTACAGACAGCTAACTTTGCCACCCCTCACCCCCTGCCTGGCCAGGCACTATCAATTACCAGGCCCTGGCCTTACAGTTTATGTGTCTCAGGTGAGTTAGAATACTGTCGATGGTCTTAACGTTTTTTTTAATAGGGGGAGGGTCAAACCAGGAAGGCATTTGAAAAACCTGAGGCTCTCAGGTTGTCTTTCACAGTGATGCATCAGAAGGAGATATATTAAAATGCACAAGATATAACAAGCAAGAGTTGCCTTCTTGTTCATTTATTTTTTCTGGGCAAGGGACGCCATTTCTTCCGAAGCATTCTACATTCTGTCTTTGCGTGCCCTCCTTGCTTCCGTATTTGCTTTCCGAGAGCACATTCGTCCAGCTTGTTGGGTCTCACCCAACTTTGCAACAGCTCTGCCACCCACCATCGGTCTCAGCCACAGGCAGTTCGCTCCTGTTGCCCCAGGACTGAGCTTGTGGGTGGGATGAATTGCAGTTAGGGCAGCCATGTGTCCGTGGCTGGCTGCTCTGGGCCCTGTTCTGTGTCACACCTGATCAGATTCTTGAGACATCTTGCCCGAGGGACTGTGTCTGGTTAAAATTAACTGTCTAGAACACTAGGGACTATCCATGAGAAAAGTTGTGAAAGGAAAAATAGAAAGAAAAGAGAGCTGTTCTCGGGAAGATGAAGGAAAACAGAACAGGAAATGGATGAGAGCTGAGGCAAAGGCTCGGTTCTTATCACAGCCAGATTGGGGCGCATCACGCTGTGTCTCTGAGTATCTCACGACTGGCGCTTTACAAGCTGCTCGCTGGTAACCGCGGTTTATTTCACAGCTTTGGAGTTATGGATGCTCAGGAGGGCAGAACACAGCATCTCTTGCGAGACTCCCCCATGAGGCTCGCAGTGCTGTTCCCATAATTGTAGCCTGCACCCAGGCATGCTGACGTATTTTACATGTATTTACTGCGACCTGCAGACAAGCCATTCTCCTGCTATGGAGAACTCCTATTTCCCTTCCCTTCCGCACCTTAGGTCAATGTAAACTCTCAGACAGCTGGCTGTGTATTAAAGTCTATTTATAACAGCAATGGACAAGCGATTGTTTGTGAGGATTGTCTTTCTGCTTTGGAGGGCAATAGGGCATTCCGTCTGTGCCCGGGGGTTCAGCTGCCGAGTGCTACAAGCCTTGCCTTACTAGGCCTTCTATATTCTGTGGACTGACGTTGTCAGTGGTGCTGATGGGTATTTCGAATTCAGCAGAGCCCCAGACACTTCATGACAGGGCCTTGGGGGCTGTGCTACAGAGAGGGAATGGTAACATTCCGTGTGGAATGGACCAGTGGAAGAATGCTCATAGCATTCACGCTTATACTCGACATGGAAAATATCTCCATGAGGACAGATTGTTTT